GCTACAGCAAAATCATGTACTTCAGGACACTTTCAGGAGTTCTTTCCTTTGTCACCTGCTCTTCCTTGCTTGTCCCTAAGGACAAGAACACAGGCCAGTTTGTGACAAGGAAGTGTCTGGCTCCCTGCAGACACTTGTGGCCAGAAGACAATGACTTGGGCACAGCCATCTCCAGCATTGACAGTTAATAAAACAATCACAAGCCATCAGTAGAAACTTTCCAAGGAGCTTCCAAAACATCCTTCTAAGAGTAATGTTAAGGTAGCCTTGAGCAGCTGGAGTGCCTCAGTGGTAAACTGGTCAGTCTCCTACAAAGCCAAGAGGAACCAGATTGCTTACTGACTAGAGTAGCATCAGAGGGAGGGAGGGGGATTTGACTCAGCAACAGCTGGCAACTGCCTGCTCAGGGGACTTGCATTGTTGGTGGCTTATGGGCCCCAGGGAGGAGGTGAGACGCACCCTACCATAATGTCCCAACATCCCAGAGGAGAAAAACATTGTAACCGACGGAAATGTAATAAAACAGTCCAAGGCAGATGTAACCAGCTATGGTTATTGTGAAACATATCACCGTCTTTTTTCTTGAAATATCATACTTTTTTATTAAAATAGAAAATAAAATATTTCAAAAGTATGTGCCCCACTCTACTCTCATATATTCCCCTCTCCATCCAAATGTTCTCTCTCACCCTCACCCTCTGGCATTTCTTTGAAAACATATTGCAAAATATACATACATGAAAAGCACATAAAACATAAACATACAGTTTAAAGAATAACTATAAGGCATCTGATATCAAGAAATAGAGCATGGTCAACACCACAGAAACACTCCATCATCTTTTCCTGGTCAAAATGCCCTCTCTGCCCTCCAAACCTAGAGGTAATTAATGTTCTGACTTTTATGATAACTACTTCCTTGCTTTTCATTACACATTTACCAGGTAAGTATGCATTTCTATGCAATATAGTTTTATGTTGTCTAGTTTTGAACTTTATGTAAATAAAACCATGCTGAGTGTAGTCTTCTTGGGTTCTTTCAACATTATGTTTGTAAGCTTTGTTTGTGTAGATGCATGAGGCAAGAGTTCATTCATTTGCATGGCTATACATTATTCGATTATATAAATACACCACAATTTGATTACTAGTGCTGCTGTTAGAAGACCTTCCAAGTGTTTCCAGTTTGGGGCTATCATGAATAATGTTGCTATGACCTTCTTGGACATATCTCTGGTAGAAATTTGCACTTGTTTCTCTAGGGTATATACCTAGGAGTGGGACAGAGCCAACCTGGTGGCTGTAAGTGGTATCTCATTGTGCTTTAAATTGGTGCTTCTCCAGTATCTAGTGGAGTGACACATTTTCATATGTTTATTGACCACTTGGATTTCCTGTTTGGAGACAAGGCTGCTCATTCCCTTTGCCCATTTTTTCATTTAATTGATTATCCTTTTCATACTGATTTATAGAAGTTGTTTATATAATTTGAATGTAAGTCTTTTGTCGGTAATATGTGTTACAAACATCTTTGTCCACTTTATGAATTGTCATTTGTTTCTCTCAATTTTAATATAACAAGTTCATCAATCCTTTTCTTTCTGATTAGTATTTTTTATATATTCTCTAAAATTTATACCTATCATGAAGATATTGTTACATTATATTTTCAAATCTTTATTGACACTTGGATCCATAAGCTCCCAAGAATGGATTTTGGGATACGGTGTGAGATAAAGGTCATTTTATTATTTTTCCACATGGAAAATATGTGTCCCTATAGGATTCCATAAAGATATCTATTGTCCTAGCACCATTTTTTTTCTTTTTTTTCTTTTTTGCCAATTGACTTTGCAATAAAAGTCCTAGCACCATTTATTGGTGAGAAAAAAAGAAAATAGTCTCCTCTGTGCTATGATGGAGGATGCAACCTCCATTATAAATCAAGTATCCATGTATGCGTGTGTCAGTATCCACGTGTATGTGGGATCTGAATTTCTGGCCCTTTAGTCCATATCTCCACGCCTCATCAATACCACACTGTCGTCATTAGTATGGCTTTATTTGCTCAAGCAAGTCCTCCCTACTTATTCTCATTCTTTACTAGTGTTCTGGCTATTGTTGGCCATTTGTTTTCCAAATATATTCAGAATCAGTTAAGCTCTATAAAATACCTCTCTGGTGTAATGAATCCATAGGTCAATTTTGGGAGAACTATCATTTTTACAATATTTAGTCTTCCAATCTATGAACATGGAATCTCTCTATGTTCAGGTCTTCTTAAATGTCTCTTCATTCAATGTTATAATTTTCACCAAAGAGTTCGTGAACATATTCTTTTAGATTTATGTTTAGTTATTTAATCATTTCCATGCCATTTAAGAATTAACTTTTTAAACATTTCATTTTTAACAGTGTTGCTATATGTATAAAAATATGATTAACTTTTTAAATTGATTTTTATCTAGCAAATTTGTTAAACTCTTATTAATTATGGTAATTTATGTGTAGACTCTTTTGGATTCTCTATTTCTTCAAATCATTCCAATTTTGTTTCCTTCTTTCCTGTCCTTATACCTTTCATTTCTCTTTCCTGCCTAACTATACTTGTTAAAACCTCTGGTATAATGTTGAACAAAACTGACAAAAATTTATATTCAGGCATTCTTATATTGTTTTGCTTTCAAAGAAAAAGGTTTCAATACTTCACTACTAAGTATAATGATTGCTATGAGATTTTTGTAGATAATTTTGATCATGTTAAAGACATTCCTTTTTATTCCAGTTTGTTAAGAGTTTTTTTAAATCAATGAGAATTTTAGCAAATGCATGGGATATCTTCTTTTTTGCTTCAATTGAATAATCACAAGATGTTTCTTCTTTAATCAGTTAATGGGATGTGTTACAGCAATTGCTTTTCAAATGAAAAACCAACTATGTGTTCCTAGGATAAACCCAAATTACTTATATCTATTTGCTTATTGATTGATTTGGCTTGAATCAATATTCAAAAGTGAAATTGGTCTCTAATGTTCCTTTCCCATATTGTCTTTATTGGGTTTGGCATGGAAGTTATGCTAGTCCCATAAAGCAGATGGCTAACATCCACTCTCCAGAAAAAATCTTATAACATTCTTTGAATATCCTCTATAGATCTCCACTTTATGTGGTTATCAAAACCAAAGTTCAGATTTTGTGTGTTCAGCACCTTCCCTCAGAACAACAGTAGCTTCCTAATTGAACTATCACTATTCCTTCAATTTTGGCCTGATAATATTCCTGCTTTGGCAGTTCTTCAAGGCTTGTAAGGTTTTTAGACATTTTAAACAGCTTTGGTTTTGGTTGCTTTTAGTGGGAGGGTTGGCATGAAATCCGAGGTCACTATTAATGACATTCCTTATTCACAAATTTATTCACATTGTTGGGTGCATATCTTATACTCCTCTTTTTTCACATGTGCAGGCTGTTCTTTATCCTTTTCCTTTATTTTTAAGTTAAACTAATGTTTTTAACACAAAATAAAATGTTGGAAACACTTAATTAAAATTATCCCAAGTGCTAAAACACTAATAAAGCTGTTATACATTTTCTCTTTTTTCTCTTTTTCTTCACATTACTTTCCAGATGCATAAAGAAATGTCATGGAGCACATTCTAGAAAAGGGATTAAGCTCCGTGCCAGTTCTAAAAATAAGTGAACAACTATATATTTATGTATAAGGAAAGGATCCTTAAGTTCATAAGATTTTCAAGTGGGCCTATCACACTCCATAAATGTTTGGGAATTGTAATAGTCTTCAATACTGCTATTTTTGCAAAAAATATACTGGACTATAATGGTTTTCTATGCATACACAGAATCTTCCAAACAGTTTTAAGTGTGTTTGATGGCCCACTGTGATACTCTGCAGTTATTTGCTGTGCTTTTCTCCCAATGTTGAGTATATGGCTCTAGTTCTCTGGGCCTTATACGTAGCATAGCAATAAATGTATCTCCTTTTTAGAAGCTATTGTCCCTGGGCACAAAATGTGAATTAAGTTGATTCATCCCTCATGTCACTGATGAAATGGAATCTCAGATGTTTTCCAGCTAAGATCCAACTGTTCTCAACAAAATCAAGTCACTAGGCCTTTTCTGCTTGTAGGGAACCTTCTGGAACACAAAGACCTTCACCTTGGGTGGGAAGTGGGCATGTAGAAGTCTTCAACTGTGTCGTAATTTTCACAGAAGGTTTGTATGCGCCAAGTGACCTGAGAAAGTAATTGTCAGTGGTAGAGCCCTGTTTTTCCCTTTTCTTTCTCTGGCAGCACCTCCACCCACTCGGGAGAGTGGCCACTCAATCTGCCTCAACAGCTCCTAGACAGACGTGAGTGCACCAGGGTTCTCGGCAGGGTGGCATTGGGCCACAGGGTGACAGCGGGCAGGCTTCACCTTTCCTCTTCTGCCCCCTGCGACTTCTCCTCATGTTCTCGCCCACATCCCCTGCCACTTCCCGCCATCTTCCATTCACCTCATCCAAGCCTCGCCAAGGATGTATGGATAAACCATCCAGGGAACTTGCATTCATTTAGAGAACCCGGCAGTTCCAGAGGATGGATGCTCTACCCCCAGAGGGGTAGGAAATGGAGAAAGTGGGCAGCTGCCAGCTTCATGCCTTGTTGGGGACTGTGGAATTTGGTGGAGTAAGGGTTCTGGGACACGTTGCCCAAAGCCCCCCTCCTTATAGCCCTGGGTTCCTATTTCTGCAGTCAGCACTGACTGAGCAGCTGTGCAGGAGATCATGATGTTGGCTTGGATTACTCCCTCTTCACCCAGATCACGGGCAGTTGGTGGGTGAACCTCCTGGGCAGCCTTGGGTGATGAAACCTATCACACTAGCAGGAGAATGGGAGTGTGAATGCTCAAGCCCCCTATCTCCACCCCTTCCTTCCTCTCTCGGGGGCTAAAAGTCTGGCAGGAGGAAGCACAGCAGCAACCGACCTGGCAGCCTTTCAGGGAAGATGCAGCCACTCCTGCTTCTGTTGGCTTTTCTCCTGTCCCCTGGGGCTGAGGCAGGTAAGTGACTGTCCCCACCCTCAGAGGTCTGACCCCATCACATAGACTCTGGAGCCAGATTGCCTTGTCACATCCTAATTCTGTATCGTTGAACAAGTTATTTGAATTCATATTTCCTCAGTTTCCTCATCTATAAAATGGGAATGATGTTAATATTGACCTCGTGGAGTTGCTACAAGAATTAAATTAGTTAGCATGCATAAAAGTCTTGGAATTGCCCTGGGACATAGTAAGTGCTACATAAAAGTGCTCTACATAAATTCTTTCTGCAGCCCATGTGTCAGAGCCCAGGAGGTAAGAATACAGCAGTAACAGTCCCATCAGCTCATGTCTAGAGTCTTACACACCAGTCCCATGTAGTCTTCATCTGGACTCAGAAGGATCTGGGAAGCTCCCTGAGGAAGAAAGTACCAGGGAACCCCAGGGAGAATCCTGTGCTCACAGCAGAGCATCTTTCCTCAATACCTGAGGCTGAAGCTGGCCTTGCCTGGAGCAAGGGTTGTTCTCCCCCTTTTGGGGACAAGAGGGAACTGAGGCCTAGGATGGGCAACAGTCCTCCCCTCAGGCCACCAGTGTTTGCTGTCAAAACCTGGAGCCCTCTCCCAGACCCCAATCCTAAGCCCCAACTCCTCCCTCATGCCCTCCCCATCTTCCAGCCCTTCTGGAGCCATACTGTGTGTTCAGCGAGCACAGAGGTAAGTGCCCAGTGCTTCCTTCCAGGGGAGATCATCGGAGGCCGGGAGGCCAGGCCCCACTCCCGCCCCTACATGGCGTATCTTCAGATCCAGTCCGCCAGAAACAGAAGCTTTTGTGGGGGGTTCCTGGTGCGAGAAGACTTTGTGCTGACTGCAGCTCACTGCTGGGGAAGGTGAGGAGCTCAGGAGGTTCCTGGGCAGCCAGGAACACAAGGGCAAGCCGAAAGAGCTCCTCAGAGGAGCCATCTGAAAGCCGGGCTGTGATAATGAAAGGGTGAAAGGGAGACGGAGCAGGTCTTTGGGGGAAGGAACAGGCCAGTGCAAATGAGGAGAAAAGGGCCAAGAGGAAGAGATGGAAGGCATGCATTGAGGCTCAAAATATGAACTCAGGCTATTTCTCAATTTAATCTGGGGGGCAAATCTTAAAGTCACTGTCCCCCATGATTTCCAGCTCAGGGCTGCTGAGAAACAGGGCAGAGCCCAGCCCCTAGGCCCTCCTGTACCCCCAATGTCTTCAGCTGTAGTCTTGCCCCACTTGGGCGGGCCCCTGTCCTGCAGCGCTGGTGAACCAGCACTCCTGTGGGCCAGGCCTACCTCCAGGCCACCTTGCCTTGCAGCACGATAGTCGCCACCCTGGGGGCCCACAACCACCTGAGGCAGGAGAGGACCCAGCAACGCATCCCTGTGCTCAGAGCCATACGCCACCCTCAATACAGTCAGCAGAGAATCCAGAATGACATCATGTTACTGAAGGTGTGGAGTGTGGGGTCCTCTGGTTCTCCAGTCTAGCTGGAGCCTTCCCAGCGTGGCAGCTTCACTGTGTCTGGGGCAGTGGAGGAGGAGGCAAGGGCAGGGCCTGAGGGTGGTGGGGGTCATGGGGTGAGCACTGCACCACAGTCCCACTGAGCGGGAATCCTACACCCTTCCTGCCAGCTGAGGAATAGAATCAGACGGAATCGAGCCGTGCGCCCGATGGCTCTACCTCAGACCGGGCAGAGACTGAGGCCTGGGGCACTGTGCACAGTGGCCGGCTGGGGCCTGGTCAGCAAGAACAGGAGAGCAGACACACTCCAAGAGGTGCAGCTGAGAGTGCAGCAGGATCAGCAGTGCCGCCAGCTCTTCCAGTTCTACACCGCCCAAACGCAGATTTGTGTGGGGGACCGGAGAGAGAGGAAATCCGCCTTCAGAGTAAGACCATGGGGTCTGCCAACACTGCCTGGGACAGAGAGGCCTGGGCAGAGCCGGAGCAGTGGGAACAGACTCCATCCCCACAGCCTCAGCCTCAGGGCCAGACCAGGGTGGGCTGGGGATGGTTTTCCCATCAATCCAGTCTCTTGGGGAATAGGAGGAAGACCCACAACACATACATATGCAGCGTTTTCCTGGCGAAAGGGAAGGAACTTTGACTTGAGTTGGGCTGAAGACAGTAACCATGGCCAGGGCTAAAGCCCAAGGACCAAAAGATCCTGAGGCTTGACTTCCTCACCCACCAACCTCCCACCCACTCACACCCAGCAACCAAAGAAGCCCCCCCACCCTGCCTCCTCTGAGAGCTCAGACAGGGAGACGTGTCTTAGTGTCCCTGCCCCTCTCTGCCCACAGGGCGACTCAGGAGGCCCCCTGGTGTGTAACAATGTGGCCCAGGGCATCGTCTCCTATGGAAAAGTGTCCGGGTCCCCTCCAGATGTCTTCACCAGGATCTCAAGCTTCCTTCCCTGGATAAAGAGAACAATGAGACGCTTCAAATAGCTGGATCAGTTGGGACCCCGCTGTGACTGATTCCCCTTTTCTGGGGCACAGCCCAGCTCCAGAGGGTTGCCAGAGCCTTTATAAATGTCCATATCAAGAGCGCAAATAACCAACTTCTCATTTGTTCATTAAACATTGTTCAGTACTTAGTTTGTTCAGACTGCTACAACAAAATACCATAAACTAGGTGGCTTGTAAACAACAGAGATTTATTTCCCACAGGTCTAGAGGCTAAGGCGTCTAAGATCAAGGCACCATCAGATTCAGTGTCTGGAGAAGGCTCACTTTCTGGTTCATAGACAGCCATCTTCTCCCTGTGCCCTCAAGTGTGGAAGGGGCAAGGAAGTTCTCTGAGGGTTCTTTTATGAGGGCCTTAATCCCATTCATGAAAACTCTGTCCTCATGACCTAATCACCTCTCAAAGACTCCGTCTCCTAATACCATCACCTTGGGGATTAGATTTCAATACATGAATTTTGGACACAAACATTCAGTCTATAGCGAGTATGTAACAAATATGTGCCAGGGATGAGTTGCCCTTCTCCAGGAAAATGGGGACTCTTCCCCAAGACAAATGAATCCCCCCCCATGTCCTGGAGGTCCCGATGAACTTCTTCCCTCCTTTAAGCCATCCATCCTCCCATCCCACTTCCCCGACTGCCTTGGCCATAGTAGAAGGACATATCTCTCCTTGGGGTAAGACTCTCTCTGCCCTATGAGATAATTTCCCCTACTTGATATTAAAGTATGCTCTAATTAAAACAGTGTGCCATTGGTGTACACAAAGACTGGCAGGCCAAAGGGACAGAACTGAAACTCCCTAGAAGACCTAACTTAATACATTGAAAAGGTGACATCTCAAATCACTGGGAAACAATGAAATTTTAATATTAATAAATGGTATTAGAACAACTAGGTAGCTATTTAGGAGGGGGGGCGAAAGATAAAATTGGATTCATTCCTCATACCATACTCCAAAATAAACCTCAAATGGATCTGAGATCTAAATGCAAAAAATTAAGCCATGTAAGTACTAGAAAAAAGAAAACAATAAAAAGCTATGCTTGTTTAAAAATAGCTAACAAACACCTATGTTCATAACAGCGCTATTCATAATAGCCAAAGAGAGAAGCAACCCAAGTGTCCATCAATGGCCAGAGTCCTTGCCCTAAACCCTTACACCATACCAACTCTGCTGTACTGTAAGCCAACATTTTCATTTTCAATGTGATGAAGATCTGCTTCATGCTTTTGACACTCTGAAGTTATATAAAACTCCACACAAAATGTTGACTAAAATAACAATACATTTGCCCTGAATATTTGCCCATGACTGTATATGTCAATATTATATTCAAATAAAAGATTATTGAAATCATGTAATTTAAAATCTTGCTTTAAATATCTTAAAGTAACTGCACAGAATAAGCTGGGAGGTTTTTCTAGGTACATCAAAATGTTAATTACTCCTTGCAGTGTGACATTTACCATCTGAACTTTTTCAATTTCCATAATCTTAAATGAAATAATCACTGAACAGATATTTTGTCAAATCCAACTGGCTATATACAGAAATGCTTTGGCGAATTTGACCATTATTTTATGTGTATCTCTTATCAGTAAGACATTTGTCTGATATTTAGCATAAGCCTTTTATCAACGAAATTTTAATAATCTTAAATCATCTTTAATAATCCTCAGTCATTCTCTCTGTGTTTGCTAACTGGCTCCCCATGGGGATTATCTATTACTTGCATGCTCGGGGGGATGATAGTCTCATTATTAAATGTTTGCACTGGCAAATGGAAAGAACACTCACTGGCAAAGAGGGATGAGGAGAGAGCAGTGAAAGAGGCCCCAACTCAGCCCTTCCTCTCTGTGACCTTTACTCAGAGCCCACAGTACTTCCCAGTCTCTGGACTCAGTACCCAGGAGTACTTAAGAGCAGACATCTCATTTTCACGTCTTTCTCCACCAGTCAGCACTTCTAAGGCAACTCTTTGCCTCTGGCTGCCCTGCTGGATAAGTATCTGCAAACCTCCACTTCCAAAAAATAACTCCCTCCTGACCACCCCAGAAGCCAGGCCCACCACCCCTCCCAACAGATCTGCATGCTTCCCTTTTCAGTAAACCCCACCAGTAGAACATTGGCAAGAAAGTGTTTTTCACAATTAAAACCAGTGCAAAAGAACACAATTCCTCTCCCTTTCTCCACATGCAGACTTTGTGCATTAGGAGCCCTATGGACTTGCGTGGAAAGTATAAGACCATGAGGATAAGTTCATGCACAGAAAGCTCAACACGAATTTCTCTCCCAATCTCAACAGCTTTCCTCTCTCTCTCTCTCTCCCTCTCTCTCTCTCTCTCTCTCTCTCTCTCTCTCTCACACACACACACACACACACACACACTCTCAAACACAAATTCACCCACACTAAGTCATTTCCTTTTCAGACAATAAAGGGAGCAGAAGAGAAAGAGTCTATACAGAGGGGAAATCCAAAGATTCTGAGCCAAGACCTGCCTCTCCCTGTTCCACGTGGAGCTTTCAGGGACCCTCCTTGTGAGGCCAGAGCTGTGTCTATCTCATAAATGTAAGTGAGAAACCTCTCTCTGCTCCAGGATCTCAAGCATTTCTCCATGAAAAAAGGATTGATTTATCTTGATATACTCTTGGATCCATGTGATACCTTTGTTCTATGGCATATCCAGGCTTTGAGTTTCCTTAACAAACCCCATCTCTGATAATGAGGAGCCCCTGTTCCCTTGCCTGAATAGAAATGCACTTGAGACAACACCAAGATGGCTGACTAAGGACATCGGTCTCCAGATCATCTCAGAAAGAAGGAAAAGTTTTAGGTAAAAAAAAAAAAAAAAAAAAACTCAGGTATAATTGTGAGGGAAAAGTGCCGGAACCCACCAGAGATTCCATGGGAAGAAGCTGCAGAGCAGAACAAGGAGCAAGATATTGGCAGAGATCAACCCCCAAGAAACTTGGAGTCCATGGAGAAGATAGGTGGGGGTTTTGTTTCTCCTTCCCTCACTCCTCTGGCAGACTGCAGGCTCCCAAGCTGCTGGAGAGCTTCTCTACCCTCATAAGCCCAAAAGCTGTTGCTGCCAGTGAACTGGGACCTTCTTGAAAACAAAGCGCTGGGCTACGAGCCCTGTTGGGGTCATTTCCTGTCACTACAGACCCAAGCTGAGATGGCAGGTGCCATACTGCTTCTCCACCCATTATGGGCCTTTATCCTCCCTAGGGAGCTTCAGCCCTTCAGTTTTTGTGTCACTTGCTCCCCACACAAACATTTCCCAACTCTGGCCCAGACTGCAGTGGCCACAGGGGCCAGTGGGTCCTGGAGGAACTGTGTGATCCCAAGGCTTGGACAATCCAGGTGGGCTGCCATCTGGAAAGAGGGACAAAGGGGACCAGAGTGACAGCTCTCCTCAGTTGAGATTCTTCTCCTCACCCTCTCCTCCCTCGCCACTGCTACTGAGTGATACGGGTGCCCCAAAGGACAATCAAGCCAGGACTCAGGAGAAGCTGCTTCCCCTCTGTTGTTGCTTCTACTGCATTGAGGCTTCCACAGAGGAGGGCTCGCACCTTTCCCCTTAAAGACTTGCAGTGGACCAAGGGGTGCTCAGACTGTGAGCTCCATGCCTGCCAGCCCTCCCCAGTCCTGCTTACCTGGCTGCTCCATCAAAGCAGGGCACACCCCAAAGCAGAGGGAGTTTAAGCCTGCTTGAGCACTCCACCGGCAACTCGAGACCAGCATACATCTTGCACAGGCCAGATCCTGTAACCCCAGGACTTGATTGTGTTTCTCAGGGACATGGAGGGAGATCTGTGAACTAATCTTAGAGGGTGATGGAGCCCATGTGGGCAGAACTGAAGGAGACTGCAGTGTGGGTCTGAGCCACAGTGCACTCATGGAGCACCTCTCCCAACACAGGAAAGCTGCATTTTCAGTCCAGGGCAGGATCTTGGGCAGGGAAGCTTCCAGCCTGCAGTGCCACTGCCAGTGAGCTCAGCTAATTTGGGTTTTGCTTGTGGCCAGAAAGCAGAAGGAGAACTCAAGACTGGGGAGGAGGGAGAAGAACGAAACCCACTCCTGACAGCCAGACTGTGAATCCCAGATGGCCCCCTTCCCACAAGCAGACTTTCTGGCTTGGTGGGGCCACTTCAGTCCCTCCCTGGTAGTTTTCCCCAGAGGCCTGGAAGCAAACCCTCAATCCCTGCTAAGACAGATTTTATGTCCACTTTTGTGGAGCCTGAACACAGGTTCATCTGACCCAGCCCCACCCAGCCTCACTCCTCCACCCACCTCTGCTGTGATGGAGCATAAGGAGTCCCGGGGGAGCTCCAGGGACCCTCCCACTGGGGCATTCAAGTGCTTCTCCTGAGGAGCTAGAGCTGGACATAGGTTCTCAAAAGACAACATGGTAGATGGCTCTTTCCAGCAAGTGTTACCTACTGGCAGGGAGGACAATTTGTACAGCCCATTACAGCATTTACTGAGTCATCCATACAGGGTGTGGTTGATTCTTACTCACAAGCACCACCTACTGTCTCAGAGATCAAACTGGGCATGCCATTACAATTCACACTGTTAAGAAGACCACAGGGTGGGGAAAGAGAAAGGATTTCAAAGACCTCCATCCTCCCTCACCAAAGCGACACAGGGAATCTGCCCACACACATAGATTACCACTACTATAGCCTACAAATAACTAGCAACTGAGAAAACTATCACACTAAAGATATCTATAATCAAGGCATCCATACAAAACCTAGACCCTCACTAAACATACCCACAAGCAAAGTAAAGGTACTTAACCAACATATGCTACAGACACATCCTTAAAAGGGAGGAGAGAGGGAAAAAAGCCCCATCCAAACAAAAGAAAATCCAAAAACAAGAAATGACAGCTTCTCCAGAGGAGAAGGAATTAGCACAAGAACTCCAGAAGTATGAAAAATCACAGTGAAAGGACACCCTCAAAGGAGCACACCAGCTCTCTAGCAATGGATCCCAACCAAAACAAAAATATTAAAATGACAGATAAAAAATTCCAAATATGCATTGT